CTTTGATTCGAGCCAAAAGTTCACTTTTATGAAATGGCTTAGTTAAATAATCATCAGCACCATATCCTAAACCCTTTGCTTTATGATTGACGGCAGACATACATGAAAGTATTAAAACAGGTACCTTAATTTTTGCACTTCTTAGTCTCAATAGTATATCGTATCCATCAATATCACCAGGTAGGTGTAGATCTAGAATAACTAAGTCATAATAATCTCCATTAGAAGAGACTATGCTGTTGTTGTAATCTTGTGCAGATGTTACCACGTCACAAAAATGTCCATCAGAATTTAAGGCATTCACAACGGTTTTTGCATTTATTGGATCATCTTCTATTAATAATATACGCATATTTAGTACTCCGATAAATAACTTATAATTTTAGTAATATGTATAACCAACGAAAATTAATAAATCAAAGCTTTATTAACAAATTACACACGGTAATTATTAATTAATAGTAAATATGCTACTCACAAACTATAATAAATGCAGTTTTTCGTGAAATATTTTATTATATAAAGTATATCATAAATAACTTGTAGGTTATATCCATTGTTATGTTACATACTCTATAGTTGTTTATTAAGCTGAATTTTTAAGGTATAATTAATTTTTTATTATAACTCTAAAATGATAGAAGATTTAGCCTACAAATTAGTTAAAGTCACTGAATCAGCAGCACTTGCTGCATATAAGCTTATAGGATTTGGTGATGAAAAAAGAGCTGACCAGGTTGCAGTTGATGCCATGAGAACTGCTCTAAATTGTGTGGAAATAGACGGTACAATTGTTATTGGAGAAGGAGAGAGAGATTCAGCTCCGATGTTGTATATTGGAGAAAAAGTTGGTACTGGAAATGGTTATGGAATTGATATCGCTGTTGATCCACTAGAAGGTACTACAATTTGTGCTCACTACAAGCCAGGGGCGATGTCAACTCTTGCTGCAACAAAAAAAGGTAATTTTCTATATGCGCCTGATGTTTACATGGAAAAAATAGCTGTAGGAAAAAATCTACCAAAGGGTGTGGTTTCTCTTAAAAATAGTATTCAACAAAATTTGGAAAATTTAGCTCAGGCAAAAAGGTGCGAAGTAAGAGATCTTACGGTAACTGTGCTAAAACGTGAGAGACATGATAGTTTAATATCACAAATCAGGAAGTCTGGTGCGAGGATTAAGCTAATAGATGATGGTGATATTGCCGCTGTGGTGTCATTAATTAATGGTAATTCGGATATGTATATTGGTATCGGAGGGGCACCAGAGGGTGTGCTTGCGGCTTCTGCTCTCAACTCAATAGGCGGTCAGATGGAAGGAAAATTAATATTTGACACCGAAGAGTTAAAAAAGAGAGCTAAAGATTTGAATATTCATGATATAGAAAAGATCTACACCGTGAGAGATATGGTAAAAGATGAATCAGTATTTATTACAACTGGTATTACGGGTGGGGAACTTGTTGATGGTATAACATTCGACCGAGATAGCTGTGCTGTCAGTTCTTTGGTAATATTGCCTAATAAGGTAATGAAAATACGGACTGTCACTTATTTTTGATTAATAGTATGTCCCTGGAAACGTTTGAAGGTTTTAATATTTATCACTATAAAGAGGTGGTGAGTACTAATACGGAAGCACTAGACTTAATTAGTAAGGGGATATCAGATGAAATTGTTGTCATTGCTGATAAACAAACAGGTGGTAAAGGACGTGCTGGAAAAACTTGGCTTTCTCCTGAAGGTAATCTCTACGCAAGCTTGATAATAAATCAAGTACAACGGTTAACAGAATTTACTTTTATTTCTGCTCTAGCGGTTGGAAATACGTTGTTATCACTTATTAGCAACATCAACCTCCAATACAAATGGCCTAATGATGTTTTGATTGATAGTCAGAAAATAAGTGGAATATTGCTTGAAAGACAATTTAACTCGAGTTTCTTAGTAATAGGAATAGGCATTAATATAGTCTACGCACCACTGCCAAATTCGACTTGTATAAGTAACTACGGTATTTCTATATCCAATATGGACTTATTGAAAAGACTGATAATAAATTTTAACAGATTAAGACAAATGTGGCTGTCTGGCGGATTCTGCGTTATAAAAGAACTTTGGCTGCAAAGAGCATTTAAATTGAATGAACAAGTTAGCATCAAATTCTCTGATAAATTGTATAAAGGTGTATTTACTGATATTAATGAATGTGGTAAACTAGTGCTACAAAAGAAAAATAAAAGTTTAGTTTGTTTTAACGCTGGTAGCATATTATGAATATATACGTAGTTTTTGCTTATTCTGTAAGTTTTGCATTAATTCTTGGAGAATTGGTACGTACTTTTTTTTGTTATACAAAAAGTAAGAAAGTATTAGATGAGATTGCAAAAAATAATGAAAAGAAAATATAAGAGATTACTCATAGCTTCAGGTGTCTTTTGTCTGTTAAGTGGTATAGTTTTTTTCATTTTGGGAACGCTGAAAGAAAATATCTCATTTTTTTACACCGTGAGTGAAGCAATGGTTTTACAGCATAAAGAAAAACCAATACGTATCGGTGGTATGGTAGTGGAAGGAAGTGTTATCCACGGTGAAAATGAAGTTACTTTTCAGATAACGGATTTTGATAAAGTGATAAATGTGACATATAAAGGTATACTTCCACCAATGTTTTCGGAAAAAAATGGTATTATTGTGCAAGGTAAAATGGTATACAATGATGTTTTTTTAGCAGATACAGTGCTTGCAAAACATGACGAAAACTATGCCTCGAGTAAATACAAACGTGACGCGATATATAAGNCGCGATATATAAGGTTGATTAAGATATGAAACTTTTTATAAATTTGTTTATGGTCTCTTGCTACTATATTCCTAATGTCTATTAATTTGTCAGGTGTGAAGAAACAAAAGTGCTTATTTGTTACTATTGCTGGATTGCCTAATGCGGGTAAGTCTACGTTACTTAATAGTATAATAGGCAAAAAAATTGCAATTGTGACTCCAAAGGCACAAACGACTAGGACACAAATAAGAGGAATTGCTACTTATGGTGATGCGCAGATAGTCTTTACCGATTCTCCTGGGATTTTTACTGCAAAAACTAAACTTGAGAAGGCTTTAGTTAAGTCTGCATGGTCAGCGATCAAGAGCGATGACGTAATTTTGCTGCTCGTTGACGTATCAAATTATTTGCAAAGTAAAGAGAAAATCAAAGCGATACTTACTAAATTAAGGCGTAGATGCATATTGATTATCAATAAGATTGATCTAATAAAAAGACCGGAACTAAAAATTGCATATGAGTGCCTCAGTTCACTATATAAATTTGAAAAGATTTTCATAATCTCAGCATTAAAAAATGATGGTCTCTTTGATTTAATGAATTATCTATCCGAAATTGCGCCTGTAGGTCCTTGGCTTTATCCAGAAAATCAAGAGGTGGGTTCATCTAATGATTTCTTGTCGGCAGAAATTACGCGTGAGAAATTATTCTTAAACTTGCGTGAAGAGCTGCCATATTCTACGGCGGTTATAACTGAGCAATTTGAAGAAAAAGAAGACAAAAGTTTGGTTATTAAACAAGTCATATTTGTTTTGAGAGAAAACCATAAAAAAATAATTCTAGGAAAAAATGGCAGCAGCATTAAGAAGATTAATATAGAGGCGCGTAGCGAGTTAGAACAAATGTTTGGACAAAAGGTGCATCTTTTTTTATTTGTAAAAGTGCGTCCTTGGAGTGATCGTCCTGAAAATTATATTAATGAATAGCTATAGCCTATATAGCAAACGTTCTCTCTATTGACCTTACCAGGAAAAAGTGGAGAGGAAGTTGAGACCGTTTTTACAAAAAAATGATGTATCAAGTAGAAAAGTCAAGAAAATAGAGTAAACTCTGGATTTTAACCCATGGTTACTAGTACTACTATCATATCTGCTGCAAAAGAGGGCAAAACTAATATATTATGTAAGAAGTGGCTGAGGAGGGACTTGAACCCGCGACCAAGAGATTATGATCCTCCTGCTCTACCAACTGAGCTACTCAGCCTGATTGAAGACTTTGCTGTATATGTAATCTACATGTTTTGTATAATATACTAGATCAAAGAGAGATTCAAGTTTTTCCATTCCAATAGTTGTGAGTAAGGATTGACTTTGTTTTAGTTGAGTAAGGAAATCACTATTATTTTGTTTAACTTTCATTGCACAGCTCTGTACAATTTTATACGCTTCTTCTCTTGATAATCCAGAGTTTACGAGCTCAAGGAGTACACGTTGCGAGAAAATCAAACCGTGAGAAGAATCAAGATTCTCCTTTATGTTTTCCTCATTAACAACTAATTGATCTATTAAATTTGTTAGCCTGACTAATGCAAAATCCATCACTATACATGCATCAGGTGCGATGCACCTCTCTACAGATGAATGTGATATATCTCGCTCATGCCACAATGCAACATTTTCTAATGCAGGAAACACATAGCTACGTACCAAACGTGATAGTCCTGTTAAATTTTCGCTTAGAATTGGATTGCATTTATGTGGCATTGCAGAACTTCCTTTTTGTCCAGTAGAGAAGCATTCAGAAATTTCATTAACTTCATTTCTCTGTAAATGACGAATTTCAACGGCAATATTTTCTACAGAGCTTGCAATTATTCCAAGAATTGAAAAGAACATGGCGTGCCTGTCACGAGGAATGACTTGAGATGATATAGTTTCTGGTATTAGGCCCATCTCTTTTGCAACATGTTCTTCAACGGATGGGTCAATATTTGCAAAATTGCCTACTGCACCTGATATTTTGCAAGTTGAAATTTCCTTTTGCGCAGCCTTTAATCTGTTATGATTACGCTCAAACTCAGCATAAAACCTAGCAAACTTTAGTCCAAGAGTTGTTGGTTCGGCGTGCATACCGTGACTACGCCCAACACACACTACATACTTATATTTTTCAGCTTTCTTTTTTAATGCCGTGAGTAAATTTTCTAAATTCTGCAATAAAATATTGCACGATTCTTTTAATTGTATTGAAAGGCATGTATCTAGAACATCGGAACTTGTCATTCCATAATGAAGATAGCGAATATTGACTCCAACCTGCTCAGCTATATAGGTAAGAAATGCAATAACATCATGTTTAACGATAGATTCAATTTCATTGATACGTTCAATGTTGAAATCAATGACTTCTGAAAGCTTCTTCACTACATCCCCAGGGATATTTACCTGAGCTTCACACGCTAACTTTTCTATCTTAAGCCATATCTTAAACTTATTGTCCTCTTCCCAAATGGAAGACATTTCTTTTCGACTATAACGAGGAATCATTCTAACTCTTCGTTTTGTATTACACTTTTTTGGCCTTGTAACTTTATTTTTCTCAGTTCGTTTGCATCTGTTTCAGATCTTACAACATATACAGTAATTGGAACTATTACTTCACTGTGCAGTTCTATATTTACTTGGTAATCGCCTAGATTCTTAACACTAATGCTATTAAAAGATAAACTGCGATGATCTACTGTATGCCCTTGCTGCAACAAAGCTTTTGCAATTTCGCGTGCTGTTACAGAACCAAAAATTCTTCCATCTTCTGATGCTTGCTTTACTAACACCACAAATTGGTCATTTAGCACCGAAGCAAATTCCTTTGCTGAATTTAGCTTTTTTTTGTTTTCTTCTTCCAATAATGAACGCTGCTCTTCTAACTTTATTAAGTTTTCTTTGGTTGCTCTTACAGCCTTCTTCTGTGGAAAAAGGAAATTACGTGCGTAACCTGGTTTAACTTTGATAACTTCACCCGACTTACCTAAAGTCCTTATACTTTCCTTTAAAATTATTAACATAATCAACCTAAACTTTTTTAGTACAATATGGTAAAATAGCTAAAAAGCGTGCCCTTATTATTGCATGACGTAGCTTTCTTTGTTTTTTTGCGCACACTCCTGTTAATCTACGCGGCAATATTCTACCGTAATCAGAAACAAATTTATGTAACAAATCTTTATTTTTGTAATCTATATCCTCTTCTGAGTACTCAGCGAGCGGACATACTCGCGGACGTCTAAAGCCAGTTCTATTGCTCACATAAGAATTATTATTGTGTCTCTTCATAACTTTATTCCTCAACTTGTCTATTCATCATATAAGATTTACCTTCAAAAACCTTGTCTACCTGCACGGATAAATAGCGAATTAAGTTCTCATTAAGTTTCACCTTACGCACAAATTCATCCATAATGCTAGGTGTAGAACTTATACATAGAATGCAGTAGTGACCACTCTTCATCTTATTAATTGGATATGCAAAATCTAAAAGACCCCAATGTTCGTACTTTATTAAGCCTGACGCTTCAATGTTTTTTGAAAGCTTCTCGAGAATTTTGACTAACCGAGTTGTGTCATCATCAAAGCTTTCTGCAATACTTTGAAAGCTTTTTAGCATATGTTCTGATATACTCTTCTTCAAAACGGCTACTGTATTATTAATTAATGCACTTTTAGTCAAACCTGTTTCTGAAAGCTTCTGTGTTATTCCAAAATCCTTTAGTACATCTTTTAATTCATGGTCAATTTTTACTTTTATTTCCTTCAAGTTAGAAAGATCTTCTTCCAATTCAGTCCATAGAACTTTTACAACGTCTCCCAAGGCATCAGAGTAAACAATCAACATTTCTTGAATTGCTTTAGCACATGCTTCCAATTTTTGCTTTGCAGAATTATCATTTCCTTTTCCTATAAGGTGTTTAGCTTCTTGGAAAATAGCTTCTGCCTTAATATTTTTCAATAAAACAGCCAGCTCCTGTATTATTCCTTCCACTTCTTGCTGCAACAAACTTTGTTGTGCTATAAAAGTAAATTCATAAAGATTCACTATTTCTTCCTTCTTTTATCACTAATAGGTAAATTATATAAGGCTTTTTGATATAAGCAAGTCATTTGTATTAATTTCTATGTTTCTAATCCAAGTTAAGTTATTGATTCTGTCGATGATGTTTGGGGTAATTAAATATGTATCCGGTAGCAACAAACTTATTTCTTGTTTTGCGAGAATTAACTTAAGCAGCACTTTAGTTTTGCCACTTTTTTTAAATGCCGAGCTCAATTCCACAGCGGCCTGTTGTGAATCTGCGTGATTAATTGTTAAAGTGAGGCCCTTTATGACAGAAGCCACTCCCTCTTCAAACTTAAATATATCTCTACCTGCTAATCTAGTTGTGTTCTCAGAAGTTTCGAATTCAATTATTACAAACGTTCCAGGAGAAAACAAATCTCTTTTTTCTTCTATGATTTCATTATTATAGAATGCTACTTCAGAAACATTGTGAGGGTCAGAGAGGGTGATAATTATAAATCTTCCGCGATCTGAAGTTCTAACGCGTACATTTAATATTACTCCTGCCGTTTTTGTTGTTTTACCTAGACCAATAAATCCAATGTTCAACTTCTCCAAAAGGCTCCTAAATTTTTCGAGTGGGTGGTTAGTCAAGTAAAACCCTAGAGAAAATAGTTCATGCTCCAACCTTTCTTCTTCATTGAAGTCTTCTATGTTTGCCAATTTTGGCTTTAATACATCAAGATTACTAAATAAAGTGGATTGGTTAGTTTGCTTACTTTTGTTTGCAAAATAAATCAGTGTATCTATAGATTCGTATAGCTGTTTTTTGTTTTTGTGTACACTATCGCAAGTTCCTGATTTTATAATGCTCTCTAGCGCTCTTTTGTTAATAACGTGACCAGAATTCTGAACGAATTCCCATATATCTTTATATGGACTTGAGCGTCCATTTACTATTTCTTGTGCTATGGAAAAGCCGACATTTCTTAAAGCAGCAATACCATAACGGATACACTGATCCTCTATTGAAAATTCAGCTTGAGATTTATTTATATCCGGAGGAAGAACAGTAATATTACTAAATTTTGCTGCATGATAAAATGTGTTCAATTTGTCTCTATCATCGATGTTCAAATTCATTAATGCTGTGAAGAATTCCAATGGGTAATTAGCTTTTAAATAGGCAGTTTGGTAAGATATCACTGCATACGCTGCAGCGTGGGATTTGTTAAATCCATAACCAGCAAATTTTGCAACTAGGTCAAAGATATAACTTGCTCTGTCATAATCGACACCGTTTTTTGTAGCACCACTAATGAAAAGTTCGCGTTGTTTATCCATTTCTTCCTTAATTTTTTTACCCATAGCACGTCTCAATAGATCTGCTTCTGCAAGGCTATATCCAGAAAGAATACGCGCTATTTCCATTACTTGTTCTTGATAAATTATCACACCGAATGTTTCTTTCAGCACTTCTTCCAGTAGAGGATGGATATAATCTGGCTTTTCAAGACCGTGTTTTCTAGAGATGTAAGTTGGAATGTTGTCCATAGGACCTGGACGGTAAAGGGAAATCAAAGCAATGACATCTTCAATGCAGTCTGGCTTCAGCTTTATTAAAGCTTCTCTCATTCCTGAACTCTCAAGCTGGAATACACCTATCGAATCTCCACGCGAAAGCATCTCATAAGTTGCATTGTCATCTAAAGGTAGAGAAGAAATATCAATTTTTTTTCCTTTACGGTTGATCAAGTTGCATACATGATTTATTAGGGTTAATGTTCCGAGGCCAAGAAAATCGAATTTTATCAATCCTGCTTTCTCAACGTACTTCATACTATATTGAGTAATCGGCAAAGCTGAATTCGGGTCGTGATACACAGGAACAAAATTTTCTAGCTGCTGGTCGCATATAACAATCCCTGCTGCATGTGTAGAGACATGTCGATATATACCTTCAAGCCTGAGTGAAATATCAAGAAGCCTTGCTATTACTTCATCGCTATCGCGCTCCTTCTGCAGATTTTGGTCAAGTTCAATTGCTTGCGATAGAGTAACAGGATTGACTGGATTAAACGGTACCATCTTAGAGATCTTGTCGACTTGAGAGTAGGGCATTTGTAACACTCTGCCTACGTCGCGCAGCACTGCTCTTGCTTGTAACTTACCGAAAGTAATTATTTGAGCGACATAACCGTACTTTTTACGTACATAGTCAATGACCAAATCCCTTTTTTCCTGACAAAAGTCGATATCAAAATCAGGCATTGAAATACGGTCGGGATTTAAAAATCTTTCAAATATTAACCCAAATTTTATTGGGTCGAGATCTGTAATTTGCAATGCCCAAGCTACAATTGATCCAGCACCTGATCCTCTTCCTGGGCCAACAGGAATACCATTTGCTTTGCTCCAGCATATGAAATCTGAAACTATCAAAAAGTAGCCAGAGTAGTTCATTGAAGTTATTACACTGAGTTCGTAATTTAGTCGGTTGTAGTATTGTTTAGGATCTATATCTGCTTTATTTGCAATACGTAACTCTAGCCCGGCAATTGCTTGTTCTTTCAACTCTTCACTTTCAGTTCTGTTTTCCCTACAGTGAAATTTAGGTAAAATAGGTTGTCTGCTTCTTGGCATATAAGAACATCTTTGAGCAATCACTAGAGTGTTGTGAATTGCTTCAGGAATATCGCTGAATAGTTCTTTCATTTCTTCTACAGACTTGAAGTAATGTTCAGTGGTTGATTTCTTTCTGTTGTCTTCTAGAGCATAACTTCCTTCAGATATGCACGTTAATATGTCGTGGGCTTCATGGTCAGATCTGTTTGCAAAAAAGACATCATTTGTTGCAACGAGAGGAATGTTGTGCTGGTAAGCAAAATTTATAAGAACTTCTTCTAATTCCGACTCTTCAGGACGTTGCAATTCAATATACACGCGATTATCAAAAGTTGATATTAATCTATCGATCGTTTCTTTATCTTCTCTAAGCAATAGGTGTGATAATATCCCGCCGGTCAAAACGATTAAGCCTGTGTTGAAGTTTAATAATTCATCAAAATCAATATAGGGAGTATCACTACTGCTTTCACGCTTTCTGAAAGATTCACTTACCAAGCTGACTAAATTGTTATACCCTTTTTCATCTTTTGCGATCAACAATACAGGTAGATTTTGTTCTAAATGCTTCACTATGATATTACATCCTATTATTGGCTGTACTCCTCTATTTGCTGCATGCTCTGCAAATTCGAGTGAACCAAACAAATTGCCTGAATCAGTTATAGCAACTGCTGGCATTTTATTTTTTAAGCAGAGGTCTATCAATTCTTCAATTTTGACGGAACTTTCAAGCAATGAATAAACGCTACGTACACGCAAATGTATGAACATGAGAGATTCTAAATAGGCTACTAGAGAATAACATTAATTTGTATAGTTTTATATTATCTTCTTTCACTATGTAAATTGTATAGAAAACTTTTTGCTAAGAATGTGTAAAGGAAACACGTAACACTTTTCTTCTATATATTTAAAAGAATATGTTAACATAAAATTAATAATGTTAATGTTATTATTATAATAATTAACGGTTCGAGGTAAAAATGATTACAAAACAGGAACAAGAACAAAGTGCTTTTGTTCAGCAGCAAAATGTTAATTTATCTGAAATAGTACCAATTCGTGTAAAAAGCAAGAGTGGTCATACAATAGAGAATGGCAGTAATGTGTATGGTAATACAAAATCACTATCGACTTTTCAAAAATCTGGAGTAGCCCCTCCTATGCTTCCTAAGTCGGAGAAAGTCAAAAAATTTGCTGCAGAAATGTTGAAAGAGCAACAAAGCCAAAAGAATGCACAATCTACTATTTCAACAACACAACGATTTTCTGAGTCTGCTATGAAAGAACAGCTTGGTTTGTCGCAAGATACGCCAGTTCAGCAAAAAAAGGTAGCTCCTCCTGTGCCTTTTAAATCGGAAGAAACTAAGAGGAGAGGTGCAGAAATACTGGCAGAACGACAAAGCCAAAAGAATGTACAATCTACTATTTCAACAACACAACGGTTTTCTGGGTCTGCTGCGATTGCTCAGCTTATACTACGACAAAAAAGTACATCTAATCAGAATGGTACTAGTAGCAGGCATCGTCATGATTCATCCGATAGTGGTATATCTTCAGGTACAGAAAGTTCTATAACTTCTAACTTGTTAAAAACGTTCGGTCCAACCATGAGGAAGATTATGAATGAACAAACTCCAATTGGAATAAAAAGGAGTAATAGTGTGCAGTTATCCAATGCTCCTGCTAATAACAGCATAAGGAGAAGTAATAGCTTGCCGAAGGAATTAACAGCTAGCACTTCAAATAAAGTAGAGAGAAGTAATAGTATGCAGTTTATACAATTGTCCAATGGGAGGCGTTCTCCTGTGAGCGGTGGCATAAATAGAAGTAATAGCTTGCCTGAGGGATTAACAGCTAGCGCTTCAAATAAAGTAGAGAGAAGTAATAGTATGCAGTTTATACAATTGTCCAATGGGAGGCGTTCTCCTGTGAGCGGTGGCATAAATAGAAGTGATAGTCTGCCGAATATATTAGAGAGCACTCCAAAAAATATTACTGTTTGTTCTATTACTAGGGGCAGGGCTAACAGTACTGATCGTATTGATGCTTCGAGTAGGAGCACACCATCATCTAAAGTTGACATTAATAAAGGTA